TACTCGTCAAATCGGGGGAAACATTCTAGCGTTTATAACTTCTTTATTATACATCGTAGAACCACAGACTCAACGGCTGGTAGTTCGGGGAAGATACACCTAGACGATAACGTACAAATGACATATATGTCTGTTGTGTTATTTTGCCGGTAGTACACTCGAGCGGTACAAGTGGGGGCGCCCTCTGAACATATGCCAACCCATGCAAAAAGCGGACGAGATAAATCGCACTTGGCATAGTCAGTAAAAAGTTCTATCACAGTGCCATCGACGAGTATACTCGCCCCCTAATATTTTCCCGCCAATTTATTAGACACTTCATTTTGATGACATATGACTAGATAAAATTTCAAAAAAGCATGTTTGTAAATGTAAACTTGTTTTGGCACACGTGAAGGAACCTTAAAAAAAGGTCTGGCAGTCAACGTGTTAATCCCATTTGCCTATTATCGAAGATACTAGACAGATAGAGAAAAAACTTGTTCCATCGAAATGCATGATGGGAATACAATGGGGCGCCGCGTACGACTGGATCTAAAAAACTTCTGCCACCGTTACATAACTGTGAATACATAACCTCCTTTTGCGGATGTTGAATTCATTGCCATTATTCATAAGATACACACAAGTAGGCATAAATAAATCGAAACAATAAAATGACAGAAAACTTGCATTATAAAAAGAGAAGGGTGCCGCGTAGGTCTGGACCAATTTCCGCCTCATTATTTATTTTTTGCTATGCGAGTGCTCTATCTTGTATTTCTAGTATCTTTGCTATTTAAATCTATATTTAGTATCTACCGTCTGAAGAGAGATCGAACATGTCGTTACTAACGTACAGTTGAGGGCGCATTTTCAGGTCTCTGATCGTTCACGTGGTAGTTACTCACTGGAACACGTTTAGAATAAGACTCTGTGTCTACTTCACTCAACCTAATCAACAAGGCCTCTGTGGTCGAGTTGGTAAGACGTTCGCATGGTAAATTTAGTACTATTTTAGTAACAATTCAGTGCTTTCATTTCAGATATTACCAGAGGCAGTAATAGAGAGCTTTTAATTGCACGACGCGGTAGAATTTAGAACGTAACTAATATTTCATCTGCGCATGTGAAACCATCAAATTCTCCCTGTCGTGTGGATTCTAGGACGCAGTTTCACTAAATCAGCATTTGTGCAGAGAACGTAGGATGGTCACGCATGAGTGAACCCGTTCTAGAGTCGCGTTGTCGCGCAGATCGAAAGCCCCCTAATATTTCAGATGATCAATTACCATAAATGAAAGGACACATTTTAGCTTTTTACTTGGAAATGTATTTTTAGGAAATTCAGACACAAAGAACATATCAAAAGTCCTTATGAAAATGTCTTGCTGCTCAGTTGCTAGTAATGTGTTATACAAAATTAGCATATTTACATTATACTTTACAATACATGATTTATTCCAGTAGTGGTGCAAGCATTTGCCCAACATGGGTTGGGAGGAATGCTTTGTCTCTGAAGGGGAGGGGAATGATGTCCCCAACAAGAATGTTTGATTCAACATATTAGGGATTACACAGGATTTTTTTTCTCCCCGAAAAATATAAGCGGGCCAGATATCTCCAGGGAAGAACAACCTTCCAGTTTTTCAACTGTCACTACCACTGGTTTAACTCACCAAAAGAAAATACAGACGAGGTGCCTTTTCATAACATATCAATTCAAGAGAAAGAACATCTCTTTTCAATTTCATAGAAATCAAGAAATAAATACTGGTCACCCTTTATATTACAGACCCCTCAATTAAATACCACTTTTTTGTGGCCCCAAATTAACAAATGTCTTTATTATTTGTATTAGAAACAGAAGTTGCTAAAGACCCCAGTCCCAACAATGGTCTTTATTTGGAGGGAGACATGTATTAGATTTTACTGTGCCAACTGTTGGCAAATAATTCACCCACAAGCTTAATATCTTGTTAGCTCACATTCAAATATTTTATCCTTCTTTTCTTGTTGAAAATTTACAAATCCTGCAACTAAACTTGCTTTGATGCAGCATTATAGATATACATAATGTCCCCTGACACCATTGAATGGTAACCATTGCTGTCATGGTAGAATACCAGCATTCTTTTGAATACTAACATGTCTTCTCTGTATAAACTTTTTAAAATACTTAATAAAATTATCCTCTAAGTGGCAGAGAGTTTTTAACATAATTTCTATGAATTACTAAATTTTAAAACTTTCAGATTACAAAAATTGGTGTATCAGTCACAGGTATTGTATTCACAGTGTACAATTTCATGGCTAATTAAACCCTCTACTACCATAATAAAAGCAGTTTTATCAGGGAGAGAATTTTCATGATCATTAATAATTTAAATTGATAAATAATCATTGCAACAAGTAAATTATTGTAAAAAATAAATAAGAACATTACATATACCAAAATTTTACTGAGGATAATTTTTGTAATAATGGGTAACTGTCTCTTATCAAGCACAAGTTGCAAAAGATTGTCAGTAGCCATGATCAGTATAAGGCAGGCATTATCAGGACACCAGTATGAGTAAATGACTAATGACAGTGGCTACATGAGTTGATATATTTTGTCAGTTAAAACCCAGCCATAATCAGGAAACCAGCAGCATCAATGGCTGCACAAGTTGCAAGAAGTCATCAGTAAAAATGCAGCCATAATCAGGACACCAGCAGCATTAATGGCAGCATGAGTTGTAAAAGGTTGTCAGTAAAATTGCAGCTATAATTAGGACACCAGTATCATCAATGGCTGTAAGAGTTACAAGAAATCATTAATAAAAAGGCAGCCATAACCAGGACACTAGCACCATCAGTGGCTGCAGAGTTGCAGGAGGTCATCAGTAAAACTGCAGCTATTAATCAGGACACCAGCAGCATCAATGGCTGCAAGAGTTGAAAGAACTTGATAAAAAAAAGGCAGTCATAATCAGGACCCCAGCAGCATCAGTGACTGCAACAGTTGCAAGAGGTTGTCGATAAAACTGCAGCTATAAGTCAAGACACCAGCAGCATCGATGGCTCCAAGAGTTGAAAAAGGTTGTCAGTAAAATGGCAGCCATAATCAGGACACCAGCAGTATCAGTGTCTGCACAGGTTGGAAGAGGTCGTCAGAGGAGGCAGCCTAGATGAGGACAAAAATCCTGTTGCTTTCATCACTCGCGTTCACTGAGCTGTCGTCCAGTTAGTGACACAAACAAGAGCTTCACAGTCATTTACTTTTTGAACATCTCAAGCTGATCTTGGTATTCAGAGTATAATCGCTGGAGTTTTAGGTTAGTACCAATTATTGGCAATATTTCCTCCAGTAACTTTCTCTTATTCAAACCCTTCAAAAAAGAAAATCAATTTTCCATTTAATACATTTCTGTTGAATATTTTGTTATTACTGTTTAAAGCCATTTTTATGCTACTACGTGTTAATAAAATGTATATTAGATATCATAAATAATTAAATTTTAGGTATACACTTCAAAATTATACAGCAAAGAATGTACTGCTTACTAGGACATGTGATTCCCATGAGCTTGTATCTGCGTCTGCTTTATAGCATGGTCCTAGCATCTCATCACAAACCTCCCGCAACCTACTCTCAACTCCTGGGAAAAAGGCAATCAAATATGGTACACTAAATGAAAATGCAACATATTCATATTTGTTATCTTCCAATTCATATTGTTGAAGCATGTTGCCAGAAATTACAACATTTATATTGACAATAATCTAAATATATAATACAGTATTAACGTCAAGGGTGGATCGGGGGCCAATCGAGAGAAACTACCCTAGGGGGTCCAGGGAACGAGTCTGTGAAATTGTTGTTTTCTAGATGCCCGGAAATAATCTCTGAGACATTTTGGGCGATCAATAATTTTTCTTATTTTCTTCTTTTTTTAGTTTCAAAAAGGGGAACTCCAGGGTCGGCTCGCCCCTCCCCATCCCCAAATCCGCCCTTGAACATTATTAATCCCAATGACAGGCACAACAATCAAAATTATAAATTATATTTTTACATAAGAATAATCTAGAGAATTATTCTCATGAAGAAATTAAGATACATAAAAGTCCATTTGAGAGCATCTTTACATTTCGTTTAAATCCCCATAAATTGGCAACAAATACCCAAAAGCCTACCTTCTTGAACCATGTACCTCACGCAAGTAAGCAACCAAAATTTGTACTCTTTGCCAGATTTGAGTACGAGCGCAGCATTGAGTTGGGACTCAAGGTGACTGAGTGTGGAAGACTTCTGCATTTGGGGACTAAGCTGAAAAACCCTTGAAGCACCAAACCTGAAAAGATATATTTAAGAGCATCTTGCATAAATGTAAATATATTATGGTCAATATTTACTTTCATTTTATTTATTTTTACTTATTTATTTAGGCACAAAACATGCAACATGGATTGTCAATAGCGAATATACTACTTGTAGATGCAATCCATTTCACATGACACTACACACAGACATGATGCTTTACACAAACTGAATTTTAATATGAGGTTTAGGGAGTGGAGTTGTTTTGGTCGAGAGAAATATCCTGCAACACTGACAGGAACTGAACCCAGGACCCTGGGATTGGAAGGCAAGCATCTTAACCACCAAGCTATTCAACTCTACTCCACTATTTTTATATTAATTGTTTGTGGGAATACCGAATGACAAATGGCCGACGTGACTTGAAGCAAAATTCCCAGTATTTAAAAAATAAATCTATAAAAAAATGGTTGTTTAATAGTGTAGTCTTGATTAAACTGCAACATATATTAAAATAGAACATCTTACAGCACTTTAAAGACAGCAGCATTTAACAAAAAAGGATCATAAGTGGAGTGGTCCTTATTCAAGAGCTGTGCTTATTCAAAAAGCGCTTATTCACTTATTGCAAAAAAAAACAAAAAAAAAACAACTCAATGCTATGTGTATATGGAGAGGATCTTAAGCAAAAAAACCACAATTCATATGCTAACTTTTTATTCTTACCGATTTGGCTTGCTTTGGAGAGAGCTTAGAGGTCCTTGGATTTGAACTGCTGCTTGTGCTAGTACACTGGTCTGGTGATCTGAACATGATTGTAATACATTATCTTTTTCATGTACCATCATCCTGAAAATATTAAATTTTAAATAATTATTAAGGAGTATCTCATTCAGCACTGTGAAGATAGAAAGATATGTAGTTATTTGTGGCTATCAGATACATACTATTATAAAGAAGTGAATACTATAACTAATACCACTACTGTACTATTTTTTTTTGAGAGCATACAAAACGTTTTTCTTCAAAATTTTGATACTAATAATTAAATACCCCTTTGCTACTTCACTTAACTCAGCATGATAAAAATGATTTGATTCAATGAAAAAAAACCAAAAAAACAATAATAATAATAATAATAATAATAATAATAATAATAATAATAATGAGAAACGAATAAGAGCACTGGCCATTCATAAACTATACATGTCATTTATAACACTACAAACTAAATACATTACTAAATATTTTGTTCTAAAATTGGACATTTATAAATGTAATACTGTCTCTTATACACATCTAGATGTGTATAAGAGACAGCAATGGGGAGAGCATACAAAACGTTTTTCTTCAAAATTTTGATACTAATAATTAAATACCCCTTTGCTACTTCACTTAACTCAGCATGATAAAAATGATTTGATTCAATGAAAAAAAAATTAAAAAAAAACAATAATAATAATAATAATACTAATAATAATAATATTAATAATGAGAAACGGATAAGAGCACTGGCCATTCATATACTATATATGTCATTTATATCACTACAAACTAAATACATTACTAAATATTTTATTCTAAAATTGGACATTTATAAATGTAATATATTTATTAACAATATATATATATATATACATACATATATACATATACATATATATATACATATATATATATATATATATATACATATACATATACACACACACATATATATATATATATATATATATCTAGTAATTTTTAAATTTGTTTGGAAAGCAACTTACCAGCAACAGAGGGCAGTATTAAAGGTAAACGACTTGCCGTTTGACAGTGTGATTATTGGGGCACCTGCATTAGTTATACTGACGTTTTCAACTGTTACACTAGACACTGCTACACCAACATGCACAGAAAAAAAGATTTATTAATATGAATTAAATATAAAATGGTTTATAGTAAAATTTAAAAAAAACAAAAAACAATAAACATTAAGATCTATTTACTGCTTAAAGGGATTTTAAAGTTGTTTTTTTCCCAATTATATTACACTACATTAACTATTAGTATACTTTTAAACTGTTTACATTTTAATTATTTTTAAAATGGTTAAACCAATTTTCAAGCATTTTTAAAACATATTTTTATTAGAATAAAATTTTAATCTGAATAATAGGAATATATCAATACCATTATTAATTTTATGATAATAATCAATGAATAAATAAATTTAATTTGCATACCTGGCATAATCGGAGTTAATGTTTCATTCTTAATAACTACTACTTGCTTTTTAATATCCCTGCAAAGTATATAGAAAAAAGATTTAGGAATTGGGAACTGAAACACAAAATTCACAATGAGATACTACAAATAAATATTGTATAGGAATTGCATTTGAAAATTATAGTATATTCTGACATCAAGAAAGAAGGGAAGACCAGTCGGCAGGTGTATAAACAATAACAAAGATAAAAGAAGCTCAATATAAAAACAGGCTACGTCCAGACACAACAACTTATGCTGGTGTAACGTTAATCAAGTGGCGTGAACTTGTACGCAGCACAGAAAACGACGGTATTAATGCAATCGCTGGTGTATGATAATCCACCAACCGACCCCAGGTTAATGTACACCACTAAGTTACAACAGTCATGCATCAATGATTTTGAATCCGAGCCAGGATTTGACCCATCATAAAAAGCGTAGATTTAAAAAACAGGAAATTAAAAGCGTGATTACAAAATTCCGTATGTAACACAAATACCTACGCTAGCATGAATTAAATTGTGCAGGCTAAACATTTCGCTAATTACATCTTGGATTAACACCCAGTGTTAGATAAGCCAGGTCGATCTCTAAGGTTTGAACATAGCCACAGGTACAACCCTTCGCAATAACTGAATGTGGAGACATGAAAAGAAGCTTCAATTGAACATCATCTTACCAAACAAAAAGTCTTGCCGATGCTAAGATTACTAGAAGGTACCACCCACCGCAATGCAGTCCACTGATTGGTTCACTTAAAATGATTGGTAGCGACTTCCTACGACCACCAATAGTATACACACTCACAGCTTTGTTTTCAGTTGCTACTGCGCAAAAGTGACTGAAAGAAGATTAAAGAATACAAACATCAACATCGTTACCAATACGATCATAATCTATATCATCAGCATCTTTCCATCATCATCATAATCGCCAACTCCATCTCAGCACACTTTTTCATTACGAACACTTTATTTCATTATCATTGTAATTCAGTAAATTGATGCTGCAAGTTATGGGTTAATCTCCTAGCTCTACCTATTAATTACATAATCATCACCATAAACATTATCATAGCATAAAAGGAAATTCAAATAAAATTATCATCAACCACCTTTACATTATTATCAACATAATGATCATATTTTATACAATCATCATCTTCACCACTCTATTTACATAATAATCATCCCAACCTTTACATCTACTTCATTAAATGAAAATACCAAGTTTATGATCTTTACAATAAAAAGATAACAAAAGCCTTATTATGTACCTGTTGCCAGCAGCTGCAGAAATGCGACTGGCTAACATATTGTTCCACAAATCCTCACCACCTTTCAAATACTTCAACCGGTGGAGGGTGACCTTGCCGCTACTGATGTCATTCTCCACCTCTAACATAACGCTTGCCTGATGATCGGTGCCTGTGGAAACCTGCACACTTAACGTTTTCTCTATCTTTGGAACTGGTAACTTCAGCCTGGGCTTGGAGGTGGATGATGGTGCTGTTGTAACAACCTTCGGAGTAACTTCTTGAGTAGACTGTAACAGAATATAATTAAAAGAAAAAAAAAATCATAAATGACCAATCACACAAGAGCTCTGAACAATTAAAATCAGTATTTAAATACCATAATTAAATAATTATAGAATCTAGAATGGCAACATTCATTTTAGAGTATTTTTTTTCTTCAGGAAACAACATACTGAAGAAATAGCTGTTTCTACAGCACTTAAGTTAAACACTAATAACATTATCCATAAAATTATACTTTCATAGCCTGGAATAAGTTATTCATGTGCTATGAAAACAGGTATTTATATATTTAAATTATTTCCTAAAGAGGTTTATAATTAATTCGTACACAGTCTATAAAGCCCTATGCAGACTATCACATTACTGCATATTTTGACAAAAACATGTGACTTGCCTAAATAAGTTCATGATGACATCACATCATGACCATATATAGGCACATCATGACTATATATAGGCATACAACAGTGAGGACAGAGCTAAAACAGCCCAATCATTCACACTGCTCTGCCTCTACTATTGTATAGTTTTTTTTGTTTATACGGACATGTTGTCCGAATTAAAGAACTGAATTGAAAGATGAAATTTTCTCTATACAATCTAGATATATGCCAAGAAATCTGTTTACTCACAGGAGGACCAATCATGGGTCCTTTCCTAGGCCCTGTCTTCACCTCTGTTACATTCTTTGTGTACTCTTTCCTTGGTCTTTTTGGTCCCGGTTTGAGGGAGCCCTCATCTTTCCGCTTACTGCCGGATAAGCTGCTGGGTGAGCCTGTGTTAGTCGTCTTTGGCGTTTCCTTAATTTTTGATGGTTCTTTGTTTCTGAAATCATGTTTTTTAAACCTCATATTACAAATTTTGTATGTTACATAGTCTAGTTAGAAAGGAGTACAGTATATTAGTTTATTAGTTCATATATATTATATATCTTTATTATTATTATTATATATTATATTAATTTATATTAGTTTGTATATTAGGTATTTAGTGGAGTAATGTCCCTACCCTACAATGCATAGTTTAGTTAGGGTGGGGTATGTAGAGCATTTAACCTTAGTGGAGTGACATCCCCACACCATGATGCTTAGTTCCCATTCTATTTTATTTTCTTGTGTTCAACTGAGCATTCAAATGATGATGGAGAGGAATATTAAAACTTACTTGTCAGAAGCGGCAGCAGCAACTGCAGCGGCGGCGGCAGCACAAGCAGCAGCGGCCGCAGCTGCTGCCACTGATGATGGTGACTGCGGCGATGGTGTTACTTTGGTCTTCTCAGGGGCAGTACTTCCAGAGGTGGCCTTTGACTTTTCGGTAAATCGTGAGTCAAGAGCTGCCATTGGCTTTAAATTTACAAATAACAATGGGATGTAAAATGATCAATAATTAATTAAAAAAAACAACAATTAATTTTGGTTAACTGTTATAAACTTAGATTGAAGATGGATGGGAACTCATGAAACTTCTTCTACAATCACTATCATCTTTTAATTTAAATCATCTACAAAATAAGGGGTCATCCATTATTTTCATCTTTTTAACGAGTGTACAAAACATACGCTGGTGGGAGGAAGTTGAAGGCATGTGTATGCTTTTAAAAAAGTACAAAAATGACGATTTGACCTATGTTTTTGTGCCTAGGCATTTCCCTAGAAAGCCAAAGTTTACCGTTATAAATTCACTGGTAAATGTTCAGTTTATCAACTGTTTATACACCGCGTCATCTTACATCCCTAATTAACGAAGAGTTGATAAGCATTATGTACTTACAAACAATTTCAAATACAAGGGAAATGCACTCTAGCTCCGTAAATCTGTAAGCCAGTAGCTGACAAAACCACACAGCCTGACACTGACAGTAGGGTAGCAGCATTGGGACCATGTGTTTCACTGTGCTAAGCCTTCCTTATTTCTTCTCCCTTCTTCTACAGTCTACTTCACTAGGCCAAACTCCTACATTTTAAATTCAATGGGCCTACATCACTCACTCAATTTAACATTTTAACACACAATTTATTATTTGTATTCCATGGATACACATGATGACAAATTTTACATAAATTTTACGTGTTATCTAATACTAAATACAATACCAGCAAGATTCAAGTCTAAGGTCTAGAGGCAGTGTGAAGTTGGCCTTCATCCAAAAAAAAACAAAAAACAAAACAAAACAAATCACGCACCACTAATTTAGGTGAAAGGTTAAACATGTGCTTTACTTCTTGCTGGTCAATTCTTAAACTTATGCTGCATTTTTGGCTGTTAACAGTTTGGAAAAACCTGGGCTATAAATCCTGCTGGTTTGTTGAATAGCGATGGATTTTTAAATTATTTATTGCCAGTGAAGCCCATGAGATGAAGTGAGTGATTGTAATGGGTTTCTTGTTTACATTCCAATGGCTATATGTGGCCAGGACTCTCTTGTTAACTCCCAATATACATTCTTAAAACCAATTAAAGTTAAGTTTATGCTGACAGCTCCATCTGGACCATTTGACAGTTCACTCTCAACCATCAGACAGCTCACTATGGACCATTTCTGCTGACAGGAATTTTTTGCCTCATGGCTTTCTACTTCCTCTGATGTCTATGTGGTAATAAATTTAAACAACATGAAATAGGCCATGGGCTGGAGGGGGGTTACCGTGCACCCCCCACAGTTAAACTTCCTTGGTATCATTTTGTTCCTACGGGCATATAGAACAAAAAAATTGATGTTAACAAGAAAAATATAGGGATGCATTGTATGTACTCGCGTCATTTGTAATGGTCGTTAGTGTTTTATGGTCAAAACTTTACTTTTTTTTTTTT